GGAGCATGGCCAGGGCAGGAGGGCGGGCTCAATGCCGGAGCCCAGGGAGGTCCGTGATGCAAGTTCCGGGCCAGCCAGGGCTCGGGGGAAGGGACGGCTCCGCGAGTGAAGTCGCCCGCTGCCGAGTTCGGTCCTCAGGCTTCACCTCCGTGGCGGATGCAGAAATCTGAGCCTTCAGATCGGCCTCCGACCTCCGCTGGCGCACCGTGGCGGGTTTGTGTGTGCACACCAGTCAACACGTAGAAACTATAATGGATAATGAAAGTGATGAACACCACCGCTCTGCTTGGGCGCAGGAGCATAACGTGACTGTCCCACGGTCCAACGCCTTCCCCTCCCCTCCGTGCTCTCCCAAGCCACCGCCCCAGGTCTAGCGGCTACGAACTGGAACCTCTTATTTCCACCCCACCCCTTCTTTTCTTTGGCAGGGTGCGGAGGAGACCGAAACAGAAAGACGAAGGGTTCAAGGGCATCCTCGGCTACACGGTGAGTTCAAGTCAAGCCCGGGATAGGAGACCTGTCTACAAAACAAACAAAAAATGCTTTATAACGACATTCTAATGATGCCTGTAGCCATGTTATGTAAAACCATAGCCTACTTTGTGTTTGAAGTGGGAGATGCTGAAGACTGAACCCAGAGACAAGAGGATGGCAGGGGTGTAAAGTACTCTGTAGATAAATTATACCCTCACTCCATTACAGCCCACCTTTGAGTAACTTTTAAAACTCGGTTCATTTTAAAGCTGGTTTGGTCTATTCCTGTTTAGCATCTAGTTTTTGCATGACCTCCTTTCGTTACTGAATTTCTAAAAATTATAGCAGGCAAATCTATAGAGACAGCACACGGTTACCTGGGGGGCTATCTGTGTGAGAATACAGACCGAATGCAAATGGGCGTGAAGGACCTGGGGAGGGGGTGGTATTAAAGTGTTGTAAAAGCAGATTAAAGTCAGATTGAGAGCTGCACAAGTGTACAAATTTACTAAAGTGTTGTGGAATAATCTTTTTGTGCACTGTGAAGATGTGTCGCTCCGATTGGTTTAAATAAAAAGCTAAACAGCCAACAGCTAGGCAGGATTTCCAGGCACAGAGGATGCTGGGAAGAAGGACAGAGACACCGGGAGCCGCAGAGCAAGCAGGATGGGCAGTACAGAGATTAGATAATAAAGCAGGATGCAGAAAGTTAATTAATAGAAACAGGTTAGTTAAAGCTATAAGAGCTAGTTAGAAACAAGCCTAAGCTACCGTCCAAGCTTTTATAATTAATGTCAACGTGTCATTTATTGAGGAGTCTATGGCCCCCATGAAAAAGACCAGCCAAAGGCCATTGACATGCACACTTCCACCCTATGACTTCAGCAGTATGGAAATTATCCTCAAAGTGATGAACACTTAAGAGTGCTTGCTGCTCTCCCAGAGGACCACAGTTACATTCCCAGCATCCACTCTGGTACTCCAGCTCCAGAGAATCCGACTGTTAGTATTCAAGCATCTGAACTGGCCTGCCCTTGGGGGTCCTGATAAAAAATGTCCTCAGCTGCAGCCACTAAGAGCACCACCTGTGCACATTCGCTAGGCTCTCCTATAAAAGGTGGGCAAGTCCACCTCCTGTCTTTCCCTCTCCCAATCTCCCTCCCTCCCCCTCCCCTCTCTCTCCCCTCTCCCACTGCCACCTCTCTCCCATTCTCTTCCCTCAATAAAAAAACTCTCCACCTTAGCTCTGTTCTGTCTACCCCACCCCACCCTCCGCTGGACACCCTTTTCAGGCCATTGGGGGCACCTGCATTCATATGTACAAAGACACACAGACACTCAGTGATGGTATCACACAAACCTTTTGATCCCAACACTGGGAAGGCAGAGGCAAGGAGATCTCTGTGAGTTCCAGGCCAGCCTGGTCTATAAAATGAATTCCAGGACAGGCTCCAAAGCCACACCACAGAGAAACCCTGTCTCAAAAAACAATAAATAAATAAATATACAATCTTTAAAATCTCATTGATTTTTTAAAGCAATTTTTTTCTCCTTTCTTCCTTCCTTTCTTTCTTTCTTTCTTTCTTTCTTTCTCTCTCTCTTTTTTTTTCCTTGAGACAGGGTTTCTCTGTGTAGCTTTGGAGCCTATCCTGGAACTCCTACCAGGCTGGCTTTGAACTCACAGACATCTACCTGCCTCTACCTCCTGAGTGCTGACATTAAAGGGGTGCACCACCATCACCCAGCTAAAGCAATGATTTTCAACTTTGGCCTTTCCCAACAACATCCCCTGATCCTTTGCTGGAACGCTAGATACTAATTGAAGCTGTTAATGACAGTGTATGCCCCATTGCCTTCAGGGGTATGTGGTCAGGGAGCAGGGATGTGAACCAGTCATTTGTGGCCTTGGTATCTGTGAAGGCTGGCTCAGGATGCTCTACAGATAGACACCAAGATCTCTCTGTGTGTGCAAACTCACGCACAGAAGGCTCCTATGTAAAACTACAGAACTGGAGCTGGGGATCCAGCTCAGTGGGTGAGGCGTGTGCCACAAAAGCGTGAAGTCCTGAGTTTAAATCCCTAGAACCCGTGTGAAAGCCTCGTTCCTGTGGCAAGATGTGAGGTGGAGAAGGAGAACCCCTGGAAGCTCATGGAGGTCAACAACAACAAAAGGTCTCAAGGTGGACAGGTGAGGAGTGACAGCTGAGGTCGTCCTCTGAGTAACACACACACACACACACACACACACACACACACACACACACACCAAAAAAAAAAAAAAAACTCCTTAATTAAACAGCAGAGCCAGGATGGTGGCTGTAATCCCAGCATTTGGGAAGCTTGGGTTGCAAAGCAACTCTTTCTCAAAAAAAAAAAAAAAAAAAAAAAAAAAAAAAAAAAAAAAAAAAAACTCAATAAACTAGGACCTGCCAGATGGCCCAGCAGGTGAAGGTGCTTGCCGTCCAGCCTGATGACCTAAATTTGACCCCCCAGGACCAATATAAGAGAGAATTCCTGCAAACTGTCCTCTGGCCAACACATTCACACCACACCCAATATAGACACAATAGATAAATAAATGCAGTGTTCAGTGAAAAAACTATATTTACATACACTATGCCTTATGCATATTCCTTCCTATCCACTAATTACATGTATTTATTACTTCTCTGTGTGTAGGGACACATGTAGACATCAGAGGATGATTTTCGGGGGTCAGTTCTCTTTTTTCAGCATGTGTGTTCTGGAGACTGAGCTCAGGCCATCAGCTTGGATGAAAGCACCTTTACCCACCAAGCCACCTAACCAACCCTGTCATGTACTCTAAACCAGCGGTTCTCAACCTTCCTCATGCTGCAACCTTTTAACACAGTTCCTCATGTTGTGATGACCTCAAAACCATAAATTATTTTCATTGCTACTATTTCATAACTGTACTTTTGCTAGTGTTATGAATCTTAATGTTGGTATCTGTATTTTCCAGTGGTCTTAGGTGACCCCTGTACAGGAGTTGAGAACTGCTGCTCTCAGCCATCACTCTACTACAGTACCTAGTACAACGTACATGCTATATAAGTAGTTGTTCTAACTACATAGTTGAGGGAATCATGACTAGAAAAAAAGAATTCCATATAAGCACAGTTTTGTTTTCAATTTTTCACCCTGTGCAGAACACACCCAGAGAGAAGGTCAGCTATATTTGTTTGTGGCAGGGCTCCTGGTTGGTGAACAATGAAACAAAAGTATCGGCTCAGGGAGGAGAGGAAAGAGGGGAAAGTGGGATTGGGATGTAAAAAATAAATTTAAAAAAAAGTATCCATTCAGGACCCAAGACCAAGTTCTCAGCACAAAGATTTATTTGCCTTTGTGTTTACAAATCATAACTAAACCAAAAGCCATCCACACACACACACACACACACACACACACACACACACACACAGACCAAACCCTCCCTTGGAGTCAAGGCCTTGGAGTCAAGGTCATCCAACAAACTCCTCAACTTCCCTGACACCTCTTCAGTGCCTCCCACTACTTGCTCTATGCCTCTCTTCAAAGCAGCCTCAGTCCCACGCCTGCAGATACCCAAGTCGCCTGTGCTGCACCTCCCCTACCGACTGTTTGTCCCTTTAACCATCCAAGTCCCCATTGGGGAGGCAAAGCTAAGTTCTCTTCAACCTTTCACCTCCCAATCATCCATGTTCCTAAAATATCTCAATTTCAGAACCCACGTGAACGCCCCAGGGAAAACTGTTCAGATGTAAGGGAAGCCTCTCAAATCATAGTCTCCCCAGCACAACTAGATCCTGCTTTCAAATAACAGTTGGTCCCCAGTTAATCTGATATAGACAATCTAAATGTTCCTGGTGCCTCTCACGAACTCTCAAACAGACTCCAGATAAGTACCCTGCCAATCATCTACCTTTTCCTGCCCACTCCTGTAGGTGGGATCTCTCCCCCATTTCCCTGGTCTTGGGACTCTTCCCAACTACCATGACCATGAACCTAATAGTTTCAAATGTGCATGCAAGATAAAGCATTTTTTTTCTAAACTGCTTAATTACACATCTGTCCCAAAAGATTTCAAATCAACTAGACTTCTCCAACAACTCCAGCGCCAGCCTCAGCTGTCTCCTCGGAACCTACATCCTGGTCTAGCCTCACAGACTACACTTCCCTAGCTGGACTTCGGCTGACACAGCATGCTCTTCTGGGCCTTGATCAACAACTCTCAGCCTCCTTGGGCCCCCTAACAGCAATACCCCAGCGTCAGCAGGAGGCAACCAGAGAGAGAATGACACCCACTTACCCAGCACCCCGATAATAAAACAAAAAGGTTATAAAGGAGTGGCTTTAGCACACTAGAGCGTTGGCTCTGGCAGACCTAACCCTTCTCCCCATCCCCTCTGCCTTGGTAAAAACATTCCTGACCATTCCTAGCCACCAAGGGCTATTCATTATTTGGCCACTTCCTCCCAAGGTCCAGCTATCAAAGTATTGAAATCTAGCAATCAAAAGCCCCATTTGGCTCATCTAATTAACATGTCCAATTAAAATTAAATATCTCATCCTAAAACAGGGGTTTCCCCTTTACCTTTATAAACCGCCATTTTCCTATGGGCCATGCCTGTCTTCTCTGAATCCAGAGGCAGTCCTTTGTCCCTCCAGGACAGATCCCCCTGCCCCTCCGCCTTGTTTCTTCCCCTTCTCCCTCATCCTCCATCTCCTGTCTTTGACTCTTACTCCCTGCCCTCTGTCCCCCTGGGAAAATAAATCTCCTTTGTGCTGAGAACTTGGCCTTGGGCATCCTGAGCTAATGCTTCTCCTTTCAGACAACCTTTCCTTAAGCCATTTCCCAAGCCCCATCTGCTTCCTGCTGTGTCCTCTGCAGAGCTAGGTGGACTCCTCAGTATCCAGAGCAGAAACCTGGGGAGGATGGAGAAGACAGTAACCAACAGCCCCAAAGGGACCGCATTCCTACTGTCCTTTTTTTTTTTTTTTTCCCTTTGAGACAGGATTTCTCTAGTTTTTTTTTAAGATTTTTATTTATTATATATACAGTGTTCTGGCTGCATGTCTGCCTGCACACTAGAAGAGGGTACCCGATCTCATTACAGATGGTCGTGAGCCTCCGTGCAGTTGCTGGGAATGAACTCGGGGCCTCTGGGAGAGCAGCCAGTGCTCTCGATTGATGAGCCATCTCTCCAGCCAGCTGAAGTTGTTTTTTGGTTTATATTTATCTCTGTGGAGGTAGAGAGGTGGATTCTGTGTGACCAGATCCCAACTGGAGGCTACTGCAGCATAGTGAGGTACATGGAATGCATGGGTTCAAATCCTAGCCCTGCCATTTACTGTAGGAGCTGAGGAAACTATTTGACTGCCCCAAGTCTCAGTTTCTCCACTGTGAGGTGAGAGTGATGCTAACAAGAGCACTCACTAAAGGAGCTGTTTGGAAGATGAATGCTTGTCAGACAGATGTTACTGGTCCTTGGTAAGTACCTGATCGTTGTTGGCCACTATTGAGGGAGCCTGGAGTCTCAGCTTCTGCAGTGGCCACCTCCTACCACTATGCTGTATCTTCACTTTTATTTTATTTATTCTATATTAGTGCTGTTGTTATTTTTGTTGTTGCTGCTGAGTCTTGTGCATTCTAGCCAGGGCTTGGCCACTGAGCCATGCCCCAAACCCTTGTCTATGCTATTTCTACTCCCTGTTATCCAAGAGACATAAAAATAAGGTGTTTTCCTCTAAGCTGGTGAAGTTATAAAGACAAGATTCCTTCAGCTTTAGACTTGTATCCAAAAGCCATGTCCAAGCGAGACATATCTTTGAAAAACCTAAGGCAAACAGTTCCCTTTGTGGGCAGCAGCGGATCCACACTGGGCTGCTTCTCCGCTGATGGTGTGAATTGTGAGTTCCCTGCGTGGGGCCCAGGGGAGGTGAGACACAGGCTTTTTCAGTCTCGAGACTGAGCTGGGCAGGAAGCTTGTCTTGATGCAGCGAGTCACGCCGAGTTCTGACGGGTTCTCTCATCTGGCACAGGTGAGCTTTACAAGGCAAGCCTGCATTTACCAATCCTGGAGCTAGAGGACTCCGGGTGAGGTCCTCCTCCTGCCCCCAGGATGAACCAGCCTATGCCCACCCAAGTGTCTGGTGGGAGCAGGGGCTAGGACTGAGGCCCCCTATATTCTACCTTTTATCTAATTTCTGTATTCTTCTCATCTTCTGCACCCCACCCCCAAATGTAAGGTTCTAGCTGAGATGTAACAAATACAATCGGATTGTTCCTTTTAAAGGTGCCCCCAGCCAGCTACAATGGAATAGGAAACACTAGACCCCATGAATGCCTGCTAGTCTAGCTATTCCTCCATCTCAACTCCTCTAAGCTAGACTCTCCCTCTACTCCACCCAAACCGGGAGCATGGAGTGGAAAACTAGGAACAGCCAAGCTCACCCAGAAGGTCACGTTTCCGACAAGCTTGAAAATGAACAGGAGGTGAAACAGAGATGCACCCACTCACAAGTACTGTAGAGAAAAAGGCAAGTCTAAGTGACAAAAGTTAGGACCTAGATGACACAAAAGATTGTCCCTCCTGATTTCTCAGTTATGAGGAAAGAGGGGCTCAGCACTCCCCCAGTGTGCACCTGTCATCCTATAGGGACACCCTGCAAAAGTCACAAACTACACTGCCTTGCTCTGTCTGCACTCAGTCTCTGGTGCTCTTACTATAAAGTGAGGAGCAACGTTTCTCAGATGAAGGAATCAGGAAAGGGTGCCTGCAGTTTCGAGAGGGAACTGTTTTGGTTTTTTGTTTTTCAAGACAGGGTTTCTCTGTGGCTTTGGAGGCTGTCCTGGAACTAGCTCTTGTAGACCAGGCTGGTCTCGAACTCACAGAGATCCACCTGCCTCTGCCTCCCGAGTGCTGGGATTAAAGTCGTGCGCCACCAACGCCCAGCTGAGGGAACTGTTTTTTTGTTTTTTTGTTTTTGTTTTTGTTTTTCCATCTTTTATTTTTTTTTATTTCATTTTACATTACAACCACAGTTCTCCCTCCCAACCCGAGAGAACTGTTTTTTATTTACTTACCTTGAGACTGAGATTGGAGTCTCCTGTAACAAGCTTGCCTTCAGTGTCCATATGTAGCTGAGGATAGCCTTGAACTTCTGACACCCCCACCCCCCACCCCAGCCTCCCTCTTCCTGAGTGCTGGGATTACATATCTGGTTTATATGGTGCTGGGCTTAACAACCAGGGCTTTGCGCATGGTACGTGGGCATTCTACCAACTAAGCCTTGAGAGGAAAATGTCTTGGGAAATCAGAGGTAGAAAGGAGGGCAGGCATCTGCTTTTGACAGCTTGTGTGCTGAACGCCGTTTTGTGTAAACCGGGTGTATGACATCTCTGACTCCTTTAATCAAGCTCATTTTGTCAACACTTACAACGAGTCATCATCACCTCCCATTCTGGAGGTTCTGTGATCAGTAATCAAGGAGGGTATTTTGGAAGTGCTCAGAAATAATTGAGTAGATGACCCCATTCCTTTCCCGTCTGAGCCTGGCCGACACACCCATCAGCTTGCTGGGGATCGGCTTCAAGCTCAGTATTTACTGCACATCTGATTTTATTAAGGAAGCAAGAGATGGGGGGCAGTGGGAACCCAGCATCTGGAGTACCGCCTCGTGTTCCTCGCCTTTGGTGTGAGTTTCTGGCTGTTTGTTTCACAAGTGAGACAGAGTTATCGATGTCAAATATAGGCCTGGGGTGATTTATAACTGGGCTAGATCACCCCAAGTTGGCTATCTGGGGACTACAGAAGTCACTAGGGGGTGTAGCTCCCTGGTAGGGTGTTTACGCAGCATGTGAAGATCCTTGGGTTTGATCCCCAGTATTGAGGTGTGTAGGGTGGGAGGAAGAGAGGAGGAAAGAAGGAAAAGAGAAAAGGGGGGGGAGGAGAGGAAAAAGAGAAGTATGGCTTAAGTAATGGTGCACTAAGGAGGCAGAGACAGATCTCTACATTCAAGGCCAGCCTGGTCTAGAGATCCAGGACAGCCAAGGGCTACACAGAGAAATCCCATCTCAAAAAGCCAAAAAAAAAAAAAAAAAGTACACATTGCTCTTCCACTGGACCCGAGCTCACCTCCCAGCACCCAGACTGGCCGGCCCGGAAGTGCCTGTAATCTCAGCTCCAGGGGATCCAATGCCCTTTCTTTGGCCTGGAGGGGGGGGGAGATGGGGGGGAGAGGCACTTACACATGGGGCACACACACATAAAAATGAATAAAAAATTCAGAGTGAAGCAATGGCCAATTACCAACAAGTCCAAATGAAGACTGGTCAACAGCTGTCAATGAGGGGCAGTGTCAGTCCCACACACACCTCAATCTCTATGGTGTCTTGGAGACACTAACAGGCAAACCAGGAGGAAGCCTGCATGAGTCCTGACCCTGCGGCTACTGTCCTTGGCTCTGAGCTGGAGTTTCCTCCAGGAACAATGATGCTGTCAGCTGGGCATGGACATGCGCCTGTAATCTCAGCATCTGGGCTACTGAGATAGGAGGATCAGGAGTTCAAAGCCATCCTCAGCTATTTAGTAGGTTTGAGGCAAGGCTGGGTTACAAAAGATCCTGTCTCAACCAAAACCAAGTGATGAAGGTATTAAGTCCCCTCTCCCACCCATTACTAGCCAGGTCTAAGTTCTGGTGGACAGGCTGCAGACTCACCCTAGCTTTCCCGAGCATCTCCTCCAGCAGGAGGTCCTTGTTCATTCTCTTACCTCCTTACGACATGTGCTCCTTTGGACATGAGCAATGAGCCACATAACGGCTTTGTCACAGTGCTTGCACGTGGCCACGGGAGATCACGGGCTCTGTCAGACACCAGCTGAGGAAACAGGTTTTTCAGTTTGCATTCTCTTGCCCAGAACAGGGGCTCAGCCTTCGATGCTATCCCCTGGGAATGCTGCTTATCGTATACGAGGCTGACCCTATTTCTTTAGATTGTGTGTGTGAGTGTGTGTGAGTGTACATGTATGCGTGTATGAGTGTGCATGCCTATGTGAGTATGTATGTGTGTGCTTATGTGTGAGGGTACATGGTGTGTGTGTGCGCGTGTGTGTGTGTGTGTACATACAAGTACCAGCAAGAAAAACCCAGGAAAAAAAGACACTTCATTGCAGATTACATGAACTCATGAGACAAACGCTTTCAATGGAGGAGGAAATACACCATTTATTTACAATCCATTCACTTTATCCACAGTTTCCCATACAAACATAAAACTAAAAAAATAAAACCACCACTTGGGGACACAAGTGTCTTTCTTTAATCTGTTTGGGGGAGGGCCATGAGTCCTCCCATCTGTGGAGGAGACTACTTAGGCACACTGAGGGTGAGTGGGCACGGGGAAGAATGCCTGAGAATCAGTTTGGATGAGGGACCTAACTCACAGGGGTGAGGTGTGGCCTGCAGTGGAGCGTCACAGGCAAGTGAACTTGGGGCGTCAACCCTAGGAACACCGCCTGGCTTCCCAAGTGGATGGGTGGCTACTGGCCTCCATCCTCCCTTTCTCCACTACCAAAAGCTAAGACTCATGAGCAGACAGCATGAGTCAGACAGCTCATGAGCTGTGGGGAGTGTGGTGGTGACAGGGACACCTAATGACACTCTCTGGGAGGAGGCCCCCATGTCGGGGACACACAAGGATCCCTTCTCTTGGCACTGATGTGTCAGCCAGCTTCTGTCCTGACCACAGTGCTGACTTACACAAGTGAAGACAGGCCGCAGCCACAAAACCTGAGGGCGGGCTTCTGCCTCCACCTTCCTGGGGAGGTTGCTGGGGGAGGGGAAGGACAGGCAGGTGTTCACAGAGGCCAAAGGAGGGGCGCAAAGGAAGGGAAAAGGCGGGAAGCAGGCAGGCAGAGACAGTGACAGACAGACAGCCAATCTGAGGGCCACACCCTCCAGATGGCTCCCAGGCCCCAGGCTCCTCCCCTTAAGCCACCCGCCCAGCAAGTTCGTCTGTGCTAATGACCTAGATTGCTTTCACATGTCAATGCACACTATAAATATAAAATCATATCTGCTACAAAGAGGACATAAATTTGTACACCTTTACCATATACATAATAACACAATTTATACATAATATCTTGGAGTGGTTCACCCTGGAAAAAGAGTTTGAAGAGGTGGTTAAAAAGAAGGGAAAAAAAAAATCAATAAAACAAACCACCCTCTTTCTCCCTCCCCTGCCCTGGTCCCTCTCAAGGGACCATCAGCTGCTTGGTCCCTAGGGTCCTTCCCAACTGGTTCTGATGGGTTATTCTAGACACAAATGTAGACATGTGACAAAATGCTGATAGGCCTGTATACACACGCACACGCACTCAAACACACACACAAACACATGCACACCAAATGTAAGACTCATAGATGAGGAAAGGTAAAATGCAGTTCCTAGCCCTTGAGTGTAGGCCTCTCCTCAGGGTTATAAACATGGTGTCTCCTCCACCTGAGAAGGAAGGGCTCACTCACTGTGTGGCTGGCTCAGCTGGGGCAGGAGGAGGAGGGCAAGAGGGGAGAAGGGTGGGGCCAGGGTCTTCCGAAAACATAAAGTGTCTCTGACCTGTGACCAGATCAAATGAGTCACAAAAGCAACACATGAGAACCTAACATCCTATGCCTTGGGCATGAAAATTTGTGGGTTTTCCTGTTTAAAAGAAGAAGAAAAGAAAGTAAAAAGAAAACCAACACCAGATGGGTCCTGGGCAGAACCAGCAGGTGCATGTAGGGATGACATGGGGGCGGACCGGAGCCTCCCCTTCTTTTGTCCGGTGTCACCTCCTTCTCTGCCTCTCCCAGAGTCGGGCCCATCCACACGGCACACAATACTGACAGTGGTCCCAGACACACATCCAGAGACACAACGTGGTGGATGCTGTGAAGTTAAGACCTGGGCGGTGGCGGTGGGAGTGAGCTTTGTACAGCAGGAGTGGTTCCTGGCCGGGGTCCACGGCTTGCACAGTGGCCACAGTGATGAAAGCCATCAGAGATGGGGGCAGTCTGGTCCCCGGGGGAGACAGCACCTATCGGCGGTAGTGGTTGGGGGCGTCTGCAAACATGTACTTGAGTCTGTATGCCTCGGCCAGCAGCAGCCCGATCTCCTCATTGCCCCAGTGGATTGTAGGCAGGTTCTGCAGCAGCATGAGGAGGCCCTGCAAGGCAAGGAAGGACCAGAGGACCCTCTGTGACAGGACCTGGGATGGGGCCCCTCCTGGGCCACATAACCCCCAAGGTCCAGCCTCCTGCCTCCTAAACATCCTACAGCCCTGCCCGTTCACCTCCCCGCCCCCCAGAGTCTCTGACATACTAACACACTCACACTAACACACTCGCACTAACACACTAGCACTAACACACACATTAACACACTCACACTAACACACTATGAGCAAAGAATGACCACAATAAAGATGTAATAAACACTCGATTCCCGTTCAAGGACAACAGAGGCAATAAATACAGAGAAACCCTGTCTTGAACAACCAACCAACCAACCAACAAAACCCACTGCTACCAACTTCACACACCTACTCTGAGGGGTATTTCTTTAGTCCTTTTCCATGTATCTATCTATTCCTTAATTGTACTTTGGGTGGTTTTTTTATTTTTTTTTCCAGATTATTTTACTTTTAGTTTCTCGAGACAGGGTTTCTCTGCGTAGCCCTGGCTGTCCTGGAACTCACTCTGTAGGCCAGGCTGGCCTCAAACTCACAGAAATCTGTCTGCCTCTGTATCCCCAGTGCTGGGATTAAGGGAATGTACCATATCGCCTGGTACCAGATTTTATTATATTTTTCTAATTTTTAAAATTTTGTTTATTGGTGTTTTGCCTGCATGTGAGGGTGTCAGATCCCCTGAACTTGAGTTACACACAGTTGTAAGCTGCCATGTGGGTGCTGAGAATTGAACCTGGATCCTCTGGAAGAGCAGTCAGTGCTCTTAACCAGTGAGCCATCTCTCCAGCCCCAGATTTTCTTTTATCTTAAATAAGTTTCCTTTTTGCTGTCCTCCCAGAAGAGCTGGGTTCGAGTCCTAAAACCCATGTGGTGGCTTAAAACCATGTAATCCGGGACTAGAGAGATGGCTCAGAGGTTAAGAGCACTGACTGCTCTTCCAGAGGTCCTGAGTTCAATTCCCAGCAACCACATGGTGGCTCACAACCATCTGTAATGAGATCTGGTGCCCTCTTCTGGTGTACAGATATACATGGAAGCAGTATACATAATTAAATCTTAAAAAAAAAAATGTAATCCAGCTCCAGGGATCCAACGCCCTCCTCTGGCCTCCAACAGGCACCAGGCGCACATGTGTGGTACACTGACATACATGCAGGCAAACATTCACACACATGAAATAATAAATTTTAAAAATCAGAAATTAAACCAAGTGTGGTGGTGCATGCCTTTAATCTCTGCAGGCAGAGCTCTGTGAGTTCCAGGACAGCCAAGGCTACATAAAGAGACCCTGTCTCAAAAACTTCCTTTAGATTTGTTTATACTGTGCGTATGTCAGCTTTGTGTAGAGTGTGGAGGTCAGGGGACAACCTCCGGAGTAGGTTCTTCCCTTCTCCTGTGTAGATTCCAGAGTGTGAACTCAGTCAGTCTTGGCAGCAAGCACCTTCACCCACTGAGCCATCTCACTGGCCCTCTTCCACGCCCCCTCTTACTCTTTCCATAAGAGTCCATGATTTTGTGTAACCTGCAAACAAAACCAACCAACATGACTGGTGCTCGGGAGAAGGGAGCCATTTCCGGGATGGGAACTGACTTCTAACTCTAGCTTTAGTAGACGCTTTCTAGAAACTTCTGAATAAATTCTATCCCTGGTCAAGTGTTGTTTCCTCTTCCCTTGCAGAAAGATTAGTTGTAAGGATCCACTCTGCCACCTGTTGGCAGCGCTGGGAACTACAGCTTTCCCTTCTCTCCCTGCTCCCAACACCACCCCGCCGCAGCTTAGCACAACGTTGCAAAAAGTGGAAAACACTCTTCAGATAAAGATGGAGAAACTGAATAAACACAGCCAAGGGAGAGAGGTGCTGGTCACAAGTAGGGGGCCCCTACCCCGGGTGGGAAGTGGACATTTTGGCCCTCACAGGCTCTTGCATAGCCCCTCCCACTAAGAGTCCCCTTTGCTTATCTGCTTCTCTAGGGCCTGCACAGGCACCCAGAGGCCTTTCTAGATCTCCTACTGCCAACGCAGACACCCTGTACTCCTAGGGCTCAGGTCTGGCAAGCCAGGCCCCACCGGCTCTTTTGCCTGGCAATTATGACATCGAAACTGTAGAGCCATCTCTCCAGCCCCCTTACACTGGGACACACTTTAACACTAACATTTGTACATGTATTTGACTAGTTATCTCCATTCGTATGTCTAAAGCTATTTTTTTTCTTTCTTTTTTTTCTTTTGCAACAGGGCCTCCTGTGGCCCAGGCTGACCTCAAACTTGGTACGTAGCCAAAGATATACTTGACCCCCTGATACTTCCCCGAATGCTGGGATTACAGATGTGTATCACCACACCCAGCCTGACATTTCAATTCAACACTCTCAACACCAACACCTGCTCTCCCTACAAATCTGCCCACGACACACTGGAGCCATTCTAACCCACCTCCCTCTGTCAATCAAACCCGGCCCATCAAAGACCCCAAACACGGCCACTTACACCTCCCCATCACCACCCATGACCACATGCCCTTGGAGAATTACTGAAGTATCCACACTGACTGCTGTGTCCCCACATCCAGGAGTCACACAGAAGCCAGAGCAGTCTTTAAAATCATACCCACTCCCACGACCCTTCCATCTTCACTCTAAGAACGCCGGGGTGCTGGCCGCAGCTTCCAAGCCCTTCCTGTCATCTCTGACCTGATGTCACCATTGGCCACCCTGCTTCAGGCCTCACTCCACACCACCCCTTAAACAGCCAGGCATGGCTGATTTACAGCCTCTAAGTTGGCCATATCCTCCACCCTAGTGCCCACATGGCTTGCTCCCTACCCTCCTCATGCCTTTGCTTAGATGCCCCCTTCTTGGCGAGCTTATCCCGGCAGCCTCCTCTTCCCTACCACCAAGGACCCCTGCTGGAACCTGAAGCAATGCATCCTTATCGCCTCCCACACTCCTGCCTGTCCTCGGCCTGTCTTCCCTCAGCATGTGTGCCGTGGGTTTCCAGGGTGACTCTCAGGGCAAGTCTGTAGTCAACACTTGTCAATGACTGAATGAGGGATCTCAGGCCTACAGCAGCCACTCTGCAGCCTTTTAGGACAAAGATCCTTCCCACTGGGAAGACCTCAGGCCCCGGTGACATCTGCCCATTGGAGGGCATCGTCCTCTGAGTGCCCCTCCCTCCCACTCCCAGACAAGCCTGCAGCAGGGCCTTGTGTCCTCAGCACACCAAGGCCTCACTCCCCGGCCACACACCTGAAAGTCTTCCTCATCCAAAATCTCCTTCCTCCACTTGATCAAGAAGGCCGCACACACGTAGAGATGGAAGTGTGAGAACCCTTCTGGCTCAGACTGGGAAAGAAGAGAGGAGTCAGGCAGGGCTCTGAGCTCCACCCCCCCTTGGGCCTCTCACTTCCCAGCCACCATCTGCAGGGTGGAGAACCCAGCCCAGCGCCCACTATGTGACAAGAGCAAATGTTAAGGGACAGAGATGAAAAGAGCTGAGGCCACAGCAGACACAGAACTGAAGGTAGACCTCCATGAACTTGGCAGGGACAGTTGGGACACGAAGGGTCTCCCTACCTGGTACGTGTCCCACAGACGGATGGTGCAGCGCAGAGGGAGCTCCCGCATCAGGAGGTTGTTCATCCACCGAAAGGCAAACTGCAGGTACTCCACCTCGTACCTCCTGAAGTGACTGTGTACCTGCTCTGAAAGGGACACGAGTCAGGAGCCACCAGCAAGCCTCAGGGACAGGAGCAGGTTCTGTTTCTTACCAGCCCCTCCCTGGGCAGATTGTCCTTCGGGCCTATCATCTTAGTACGGCTCACATCAGCACACAGTATGACCACCCAGCCCCATCATCTCAGTACGGCTCACATCAGCACACAGTATGACCACCCAGCCCCATCATCTCAGTACGGCTCACATCAGCACACAGTATGACCACCCAGCCCCATCATCTCAGTACGGCTCACATCAGCACACAGTATGACCACCCAGCCCCATCATCTCAGTACGGCTCACATCAGCACACAGTATGACCACCCAGCCCCATCATCTCAGTACGGCTCACATCAGCACACAGTATGACCACC